GATACGTCAAAAGATCACAAATCGTATCTAGTCGAAGACATTACCCTTAAAAATTGAAAAAAATTCCCTCGTTCCCCTTAAAAGGGGGAAACCCCCCAAAAAATTACAAATTTAAAAATCGCTAATTTTCAAAATTTTTTCAATTTTTTTAAATTAAAAGTGCCATAACTTTTTTAAAAATAAACATATCAATATAATTCTTTTTTATATAGATGCATAATATCATTACCTTTAATTTGGTATATTTTTTTCATAAATTTAACCCTTAACCTGCCCACAAGGGGGGATTTAAAATGACAACTTTTTCACAAAAANGGGGTGGGATTTAAAATGACAACTTTTTCACAAAAAATTAACTTTTTCAACTTAACTTTTGAAAGTGTTTCGTAAATGCTGACACTTTTATATATACCTTAAATTAAAGATTATATAATATACTTTATCATGAAAAAAAAAAATTTTCGGACTTTATCTTATCTTCATGGTGAAAATGGCTACCGAATGCTATTTTTGTGTGAAAATTTTCGATTTTGTATTTTCCATTTTTAACTTTATTATGCTATAACTTTTTGAAAAATGTATGAATCATTACAATTTTTTTATGAGAAGTAGTATTTATATAGATCTTTCATTCGACATACTGTTTTTTTAAATCGGACCATTTCCCTAAATACAGGGGGGATTCAAAACATAAAAATGCATATAGAAAGTAGAACTTTTTCAACGTAACTTTTGAAAGTGTTTTGGAAGGTCTGACACTTTTATATATATCTTAAATTAAAGCTAATGTATTATACTTTATAATGGTAAAAAAAAATTTCGGACTTTATTTTATCTTCAAGGTGAAAATGGCTACCAAATGCTATTATTGTGTGAAAATTCTTAATTTTATTTTTTACATTTTTAACATTATAATGCTATAACTTATTGAAAAGTGTATTGATCAATATAATTTTTTTATGGGAAATACTATTTTCTAATAATCTCTCTTTTATTCGACATACTTTGTCTTAATCAGGATATTAATAAGGAAGTAGCAGTTAATGAAGCTTTTGAAATAATCCACCAATTTTTTAAAATTAAACACTATCTAAAGATTTGCATCGAAGCGTTTTTTTTTGATAGTGATTTTAATCACTATCAGATATCATTATATTTGATCCAACTATGCCACGTCACCACTGTGCCGCGACCCCCCTGTGCTGGGTTTTTTTTTTTACTTAAAAGTGCCATAACTTTTTTAAAAATTACCGAATCAATATAATTTTTTTTTTATAGATACCTTAGGTATTCACCTATCATTTTACATATTTTTGTTAACATTTGACCCTTGACAAGCCCACAGATAGGGTTTCAAAATGGTATCTTTTTTACAAAAAATTAACTTTTTCAACTTAACTTTTGAAAATGTTCCGGAAAGACTGACACTTATATATATATATACCTTAAATTAAAGCTAATGTAATATACCTTAATTTGAAAAAAAAAATTGACCTCTGGACTTGTCTTTATGGTGAAAATGACTATCGTATTCAATAATTTGATATTTTTGTGTTAAAATTGTGGGTTTTGTATTTTATTTTATTTTGAAATACCTGACAAGGGAATTACAGATTTTTATAAATATTATATAAATATAAATTTGAGATAGCATAGAAAGTTAAACTTATTTAAATTTTTTTTTTTTTTTAAGTCGAGAAAATTAACTTTGAAATTTGAATTAGCTTAAATAGCTCATTTTTTCGACCAACGGTAGTGACATACGATTGCTGAGTCGGTAAAATTTGTGTATTAGAAGCTTGGGGTACGAGGTTCAAACCCGCATATGGCAATAAATTGTTTGCATTTTTTCTTAATTCTTTTTAAGTTAGAATAAATTTTCAACTGCTTTGATTTTTATCTAATTTAGATTCCATAAATTCAATAAAGATCAAGGATCCTATCACTGTAATCGCCACTCGTGAGAAGAAATTTTTTATTCATATCAAAATTATTTTACTATATTTTAAGTTTTAGCTTCGATGCAAAGCTGAGAAGATATTTTTTTGTGACTATCATTTATTTTCTCTGCTCTAACTTGACCTACTTTTTTCAACGATACGTAAAATGACTACAATTCGTATCTAGTTGAAGATATTACCCTCAAAAATTAAAAAACAATTTTTATTTATCAATTGAACAGTTAATTATTCCATGTTCTCCATAAAGACAATTAAAATGATAAGTTTGAAATGATAAATTTCAACTACAAAATTTAATCATTTTACTTTGTAATTTAATAATTTTTTTACTCTATTTGTGTGTGATACTACTATACTATAATATTACAAAATTTTTGGTAACATGTTGCTATATAAAACATTTCTAAAAAAAATGATTGTTAGTTTCTCCTGAATTAATAATGGATTTTTACATTTATAATTAAATTTTATTATACGCTCAATTATTAAATCTTTTTAACAACTTTGTTTTGATTTAAAGTTAAAGTAAATCATTAAAATTAATTAATTTCTGAATATTTCAATTGCAGAATCTTTTTAAACATCAAAAGTTATTAGGAAATGATTACTATTCTTTCTATTTCAGTTATATATTACGATAAAAATGCAAAAAAATATTGAGCTTTTCTGATAATTTTACAATAAATAGTAATTATAAAACTTTCTGACTGCATATTGATCTTAACGATACAATTTTTTTAATTGTCATAAAATTTTCTATTTAATTATGTCAATGTCAAACTTACCAATTGAGCTAAAAGTTATGGTAAAATAAATTTTTTTTTTTTATTATAAACATTTACAACAATAAACTTTAAACAATTAAAAAAATAGGTTAAATATGTCATTTTCCTTATTTTTAACATAATAATAATCAAAATCAGTTTAAATTAATTTAAAACAATTTTTTTATTTTTAATTATTTTTTTTTATATGTGAATACTATTTTTTAATAATATTAAAACTTAGAAGTGATAGAAAAAGTCAAATTGCACATTTGAAAACATCGTGAAAAGTTGATTTAGAATAGTATATTTTTGTTTCTGATGAAAGATCCTTGTAGTCCAGTGTATAAAACTTAAAACTTTGTTAACTGTTATAACTTTATCAAAAATGACCAAATGAGTATAATTTTTTTTTATTCAGATGCATGACTTTATCTATCATTTGGTTTTTTTTTATAAATCTAACCCTTTGTCTTGTGGGAAAGAGGGATTCAAAATTATAACTTTATTTTATTTTAGTTAAAGTAAACCATTAAAATTAATTCAGTTCTGGATATTTTAACTGTAGAATCTTTTTTAAATTCCAAAAATTACTTAGAAATGATTACTATGATTTCTATTTAAGTGCTCTATTACGATAAAAATGCAAAAAAATAATGGGTTTTTCTGATAAATATAATGTAAATAGTAATTATAAAATTTCCTGATTGCATATTAGTCTTAAAAATAGCATAGTTTTAATTCTTATACAATTTTCTATTTAATGATTCATTCTAGTCAACGAAGGAGTAATTTTGGAGAATAGCAGAAAAAATTCCCAACCAATTTTTTTTTTTTTTTTNNNNAAGTATAGATGATATCTGACAGTGATTAAAATCACTATCATAAGAAACGCTTCGATGCAAATCTGTAGATAGTGTTTCCTTTAGAGAAATTGGTGAAATATTTTAAAAGCAACATGAACTCTTATTTCTTTAATTATATCCTGATTAGTAGTTCTTTGATTTTAAAATATAATATATGAATAAATACTAATTATAATTATTAAATTTAGTATGAAATTGATATTCAATAATCTAATATTATAATTTAAACGGAGAAATTATAAAAATAATAAAGAACTTATATTTTGCTTTACTTTTACGTGTATAAAAATTTAAGGGCTTGATACAATAATTTTCAATAAAAACTTCACTTTATATCACTTCTAATTTTTTATATTATGACTAATTACATATAAAATAATAATTAAAAGAAAAAAAATATGTTTTCAAATTATTACTGATTTGATTTTTAATATGTTAATAATAATCAGTCCAAATTTTCATTTTTAACCTATTTTTTTGGTTTTTTAAAGTTGATGAAAAATTTTTGACAAAGATTTATAAAAGTTAATAGTAAAAAAAATTGAATATATTACTATAACTTTTAGCTCAATTACAAGTTTAAAATTGTCATCTAGGCCAGTCAACAAAGAAAAAATTGCGTAAAAAATTCCCAACCAAATTTTGTTTTTTTTTTAAAGTTGCATTAAAATATGTCCACATTGATTCGAATTGAGCTTGACACGATCTCCCAAATCTTCTACGCTCACATCAGCTGTTCTCATGTCGCATTCAATAACATCCCTCAATCTCTTTTTTGTTCTTCCTTCAAAATTAATTTCTATAACTGTTCTTACAGCTTCCAATTCTTCTCTC